GTAGTTTAAGGTTCAATCACTGCAGTGACTGCAATTTAAATGTTTCCTTGAAGTGGTTGAAGAGATGCCCAGTAAGGCCTTGTGAAGCTTCGGTCCCCAATTCAGCAGAGATTCGGCCTGATTCAGTGGCCAAATCTCCAAACCTGAATCAAATCAAAGGACCTTTTAATCTCTCCAAATCAATTCAGAACCCTCCAAATCGATTCAGGCAGATTCAGCGATTCAGGCCTAGATACAGCTCTAGGAGCAGGGGCTCTGAACGCTGTGGTGCTGGGACAGATGTAGCATCCCACAGAAGCACTGGGGGCTCCCCAGCATGCTTCCAGAAGTGGACCAGAAGGGGCCCCCCCACGCCCTCCCAGCTCAGTGACTGGTGCCTCCTGGGTCTGGAGGGGCACCAAGGGTCCCCCTGCAGCCAATCACCGAGTCAGGGAAAACACGGGGCAGGGGAGGGCCTAGCGCATTCCCTAGCAGACCTGGGAGTGGACTGGAAGTATTTCTGCTCCACTTCCACGTTTGTTGCCCAGCATGCTGGAGAGCCCCCCATGCTCCATCCACCCCAGCACCGCAGCAATCATGAGCCACGCTGGTACCTCAAGGTATGTAGAAAAAACTTAAAGCTGTGCCTGTGTCCAACTCACTGATTCTCCAAACCAGCATCAAATCTTTAGATTCAGATTCAGCCAAACTGAACCGGGGACAGTGATCCGAATCAACGAATCAAATCACTGTCCCCAATTCAGGCTGAATCTGAATCAAATAGGGCCCATTTCGCACAACCCTAATACCCAGCACCTTGTCGGTTGGGAGAGTTGCCTCTATTGCTCTAGCATGCCCATGACTCATAACAAACCCAAGATACTGTCTGGAGCCATAGCCATTGGAGAAGGTCAAGTGTCATGTGCCAACAAGATACCATGATGCATTAGCAATAGACAGAACAAGGAAACAGGAGATTCAGATTCTGTTCTTGCCTACCTTGCTAAGTTGGAGAAGTCCTTTTTAGCCTGTCTCTCTCAAATGACAGTAATAATACTATTAAGGAGGGGCCATCACCAGGGAGGATTATAGCTCCTTGGCTCAATTGTAGGGGCACTGTTAGGAAGGGTAAGGCAGAGATGGAACTGGGACTAGCAACCTGGATCAAGGATAACAAGAAGTCCTTTATCAAATACATTGGGGGTAAAAAGAAGGTACCAGGTAATGTGGGGCCTCTGCAGGACACACTAGGAAATCTGGTGGTCACACCAGATGACAAAGCTAATCTCTTCAACAATTTCTTTGCCTCCATTTTTCTGCACAGGGACCAGGTCACCACCCCCACCGGGATCCCCGATGGTCCCAGGGGAGGCACAGCCAAGCCCAGGGTCAGTGAGGACCTAGTCAGGAGACTTCTGGTGGGACTAGATGTGTTCAAATCAGCATGTCCTGATGATCTCCACCCCGGAGTGCTGAAGGAATTAGCAGAGGTCAGTGTGAGACCCTTGGCACAGCTCTACAAGCACTCATGGTGCTCTGG